AAGGAGACGCTATATAATGATTTAATCCAAGCTCCAGCAGAGAGGGAGCGAGCTGGGGTAGCCCTCCTCTTCTCCGGCCTGTACCTTGGTCATCCCGGTGGCAGATGGGACATGAAAGGGGTGCGAGGAGGGTGGAGGGGGCAAAACAGGTGGGGGTGAAAACTGAAGACAAGGAAAAGGCCATAGGGGTCAATAGTGGCATTCAAAAGGGGGAGGGTCTACATACGGACGCATACAGGCCGATCGATACAGAGTTTAGTGTTCTTGCAACGGGCCAGCCCCAAATCAATGTCACCCCACACCAGATGTCACCCAACTCAGAGAAAAACTGCCATAGGATAGGGCAATACAGATACAAGTACTGATAGTGACAAAGAATATATCATTACAGGTTTCAACAAGAACAGCACTACAGGGACCTTTGATGGAATGTAACTTTAGATATTACAAATTTGGCAAAATGTCTTCACACTTGTATGAAGTTATTTTTTTCTCATGTGTAACAGCTTTAGAACCCCCCTAAAAAATCACCTTTTTAGAACTTTTTATTTTTAGATCCTTTTAAAATTGTAAATAAATCAAAATGCCAATTATCAGTCAAAAGTGAAGTAAAATGTGATCATATTTATTCATATCTGTTCAAATAGATAGAATGTAATGTTTATGAAATATTTTTAAGTGCCCTATAAATATTACATAATAACCAATGAAAAACAGTATTTACGCTATTTATTTCAGAATAATTAAATCAGATGAGTTCTCTGTTCTATTTGAACTACTGTCAGTACACTTTGTTGTCAGTACTAAGTGTTTGTGCTCTTATAGGAATACTGTAGTAATCTGATTTTATTTGACCTTTTAACTTTTTTAACATTTTACTAAGCTTAATGTTATATAGGCTATAGGAATGTTTATTTAATGTTTATGTTTATTCATTCATTCATTATTAATATTATTTACTTTATTGAACGTACTCGATAAAAGAAATAAAACATAGCCCACATTTACTGATGGCAAGTGGACAGTTCTCTGAGGGGATATGGACAGAATAACTGGAGTAGTGTAGTTTCAGAAAATAAATAAAAGATATTTTATAAATTATAAATACATTTTATTAGATTTAATGTAGTTGTAATTAAAAAAAAAAACATTAGATAGATAGATACTTCATTGATTACATACATACATACATACATATATACAAGCATAAGAAACCGCATAATTAAAAAAAAAAACAACTATGTCATTAACAGGGGTAGGTTAATATAAATTTTTCTTCTTCCCACTCCTTTTAGAGAAATGTGCTTTTTTGTTGTTTACAATGTAGTATGTGTATGATTATTGTTTCCTCTCTTGGCACAAACTTGAAATAAAACCAAATCAATCGAAATTCAAATTATGAAATCACCTATCTTGGAGTAGTGGTTTTAATTTTTTGTTGTCATGACTTTGATATTACATACACAGCAATACAATTATATTTATTTATTTATGCACCTGTCACGTTCATTTTCCCAAAATCAGACAGTTCATTTTAACCTGAGCTTCCCACAAAGCAGCTGCACTTTTCATCAGAGAGACTGAACTCAACGTACAAGGCTCCAAACCCGGTAATTACCTTATATGATCAAACAGGTAAGGAAGTAACTATATTTCTTTGCAAAGATATGGCGTTTTCATGTTAATACAGATACTTCATATGTTGGAAAGTTACAAGATATGTTTCAAATATCAACTAACTACACATCTCCAAAATGACACTTTCACCTCTCTCTGGGTGTGTTCTTGAGGGGAAAAACTCACCAAAATCAACTACTGCTATCTTTGCCAGTTAGGATTAGCTCAAAGTCTGGAGATGGGTCCCTGGGCTCTGGACAGGTTTTGCCCCAGCAGTACTGAAGGATGGGTCAAACGCAGAGTACAGATTTTCCTATGGGGACAATCAAAATGTACCTTATAAGTTATAAATAAAGTAGTTTCAATATAAGAGGTTACCACAGTGAAGCACTTTAAAGACTGATTACTTTTTCACTGTTAAAACCTTTGAGCCATCTCTGACAGCTTACTGTGTTTATGTACATATTAGATTTGAGACAGGGAGTCATTAACTGTCAGTGCATTAATGTGAAATTAAACAACTTTAAAGTGGACTTAACTCATGACGTGTGATGTGTTTCAGTTATGCAGACACAGAGAATGGCAGACAACGAACCAACCCTTACAGTTTAGGACATTAAGGAGTTAATCCCACAAAACTACAATCTGATTGAACTTCTGTCCAGCGGTGGCTTTGGTCTGGTGGTCAGATATCAAAAGAAGGACAATGGGGAGGTTGTGGTGGTTAAACTTCCCTTGTACAAGCAGAACACAGAGGAGGAGGTAAGACCCAGTTTTGAAGCTACTTAATGTGCATATGAGAGGTTTTCATGTATTTCTAATTGTTAACTACTTGGTTTGGTGGGAATAATACAAGTGGTATGTATTTATCATAGTTTTATGTCAGTGGCAATAGGTTGAGAAGAGAATCCAAAACTACAGAAAGTAGCAGTGAGTGTCCAAATGGATAAAAATGGTGTTGAAAAAACTAAGCAAGAATTTCAGTTAAGTATCTTAAATATAGTTAGTTGAATATTTATTTCAAACCTGCACATATAATTGATATAACAACATGACATTACAGACATAGATACAAACTTGCACGGTTTGAAACTGGAATGGATGAAATATAATTGTTTTATATCCGCCTATGTCTAAGAGAATGCCCAGCCACCCTGCGGAGGAAACTCATTTTGACCGCTTGTACCCGCGATCTTGTCCTTTTGGTCATTACCCAAAGCTCATGACTATAGGTGAGGGAAGGAACGTAGATTGACCGGCATCGAGAGCTTTGTCTTCAGGCTCAGCTCCCTCTAGTTCTACAATATCAGCAATATTTTTGGCCAGCAGTTTTCAAGAGAAGATTTGACTTTCCAAATACAGCCAAAGGTAAACCAAGTCTAATACAGGCCTACACCATTATCACGGTAGTTCAAACCAAGGACTAGCACAAAAGTGGATGATTAGTGAAATAATATAGAAATAATAATATAGATCCTAAATCTGAGAAACATTAGAACTGAGGAAGGTAGGCTTCAGTGTGATCACATCCACACAAAAAGTTGTGAAAATGACTGTTACTTAAGCTACACACTTTTTATTTTTACTTTAGTAATTCTTGGAAAATGATGGAACCCCATTATCCATTTATAAATCATTATCTTTTACAATTCACAATTCAATGCACAATTCTATAATGGTTGTTTAGACACAGAATTTATAAGTAAGACTGTCACGATAATTATTATATCGACTTAAATCGTTCAGTATATGCTAAATCAAAAGTATTTGTTCAGGCTCAATATTTATCGTACATATCTTTTCTTTGCACTAGTGAAAATTGTTTGTTAGTTGTACATAGTATTAGGCCTATATGATGGCATTTGAGTCTTAGATGGTCCTTTAATTAACTTAAATAACACAGTGTAGATACTAGATATCACTACTTAAAGGTCCCATATTACACCAAATTGAGTTTTGTGAGCTTTAAGCCATGTTATAATGTTGTTACCTCATAAAAACATACCTGGAGTTGTGTTTTCTTTGATTCACACACATTTGAGTAATCCTGGTTTATCTGGTAATTCTTTTGTTATTACTTTGTCTACATCACCAAAACTCACAACACTCTTTTCTAATGATACCATGGGCTGGTGTGCTAAACTTCTCTGTATGCAACAAAATACAACTGAGGAAACAACATTATAACATACAGTAGATCAGCAAATAGCGTAATATATATATGCCCTTTAAGTGTTTCATTGTCTTGTTTATATATTGCCAGCTACATTATGTTTAATATGAATCAGTTAGGAAAGGATTTACTGGGATTATCCTGCTTTAATGTTATTATGAATGTGGTATAAATTAATTTCAATACTATCGTCTATTGTGATATTTCCAGAATCAATATGTTGCGCTTTGTTAAAATGTGTTTTTGTGGCAGACCTACTTATACGTAGCCTACATAAGACACATGAAGACATAGTAAGATATATGCTTATCTCCTGGCAAGAGAGCTTTACAATTAACTCTGTAGGTTAAAAAAAAGTCTAACGTTACTGTTCAATAAATGCATACAGCACTTACCATGAACACTGTGGCAATGGAGTAAGTACTATGGAGGCCGATGGAGTCACTTCATAGAGTAGTCTGTACCTTAGACATGTAATATTGCCATCTTTTGGACACTCACTGCTACAACAAGCAAACATACATGGTAAGTTAATTGACAACTAAACAAATGATTTACTGTAGCTTTAAATAATTAATACTTACAGTGTCAGTGGCTGAATGTCTTGTGATTTTGTATAAGAAAGTTGACAACTAGCATTTTCATCCTTAATGGTCCATATTACACTATTTTCTGATCTATGTTATGTTATTTCTTCGTCAAAAACATACCTGGAGTTGTATTTTGTTTCATTCACTAACCCTGCATATTTAGGCTGAGCTCTTTTCTTAAACAGAAAAACTCTGTTCCACCTTGTGATGTCATGTGGTAATACAGAAAGTGCTCCACTGTGTTTTTAAACTCCATACACATTCATTAGAATAATTTGGATGATTACAGTCCTGGAATTGCCAGACTCTGCTAAAGAAAAGGTAAAAGGTATCTGTTAACTTGAAAACTACTGCTTCATGACATCACAAGGTGGAACAGAGCATTTTGGGCTTTAGAGATGTAAACAGACTAATAATAACAGATTACTCAAACATGTGAATGAAACAAAGCGCAACTCCAGGTATATTTTTGAGTAGGTGATGGCCTTATAACATGACTTAAAGCTCACAAGAATCCATTTTGTGTATTATAAGACTTTAAAGCACACCTAATGTAATATTGGCTACTGTCTTGTTCTACTTACATCTTTAAAAAGTTGCATAACATCAGGAAGCAAAAGTCTTACCCACAAATGAGATTTATTTAATCTGAAATTAAATTATTGGTATAGTAGTATTCAAGTGTTGATGTAAAAAACAAAACAAAAAGTTAAACGCCTCACACACACTGGACAATTGAGAAAACCTTTTCACTGAGACCTAATATTGTGTGTAAAAGGTTTAAGTTATATGTACAATAACTGATTTGACAGAATTAATGGTTGTTTTGTAACAATAAAATAAAGCACACGTGTATACTGTACAGTCCTATCAGCTCAAAACAACCGTCTGTAGAGAATTTTGGTGTAACGTTTTAATAACTACAACTTTAATAGCCTTAATAAAGCATGAACACAGAGTGAATTCATAATGAACAAACTGTTTATTATGAATGAATCAGGCTTAGAGAGTATTATAATAGTGTACAGTATATATAATATATAATAGTAGTATAATCTATAACACCTGTATCTGTGGTTATAATTGGGACATTTTAAATCGAGATATTAATCTAAAACAAGTTGTTCCAAAATGACTTTGCAATACTTCCGAGTCATACACATATTTGATTAAGAAAATAAAACTGGAGAATGAAGTATAGAGCAATGGCATCTTAAAAATAAGGGAATATAGATTGCTCAAACATGCACTACTCACTGCGCATACAGCTTTGGATGAGAAATGATTAGAAGAAACTACTGTGACACAGTTAAAAGCTGTGAAAAGTTGATTTTGCATAATAGGTCAGCTTTAATTACGTATTTAGTAAGCCTGAATAACAGTGTTTATTATAAATTATTGTTCATGCTTTAATAAGGCTAATTAGGGTGTAGTTATAAAAAAAACTTTCCCTAAGCTGGTCTAGATTGATAACAGAATCCAAACTGTATTACAGGTAAAATAGTATGATTAAAAGGACCAGTAACCATTGTGGAAGTTCAGAGAAACATGAGGTTTTCTGTGCCAAAGGGCCTTCTCTAACAAGTCAGTGTCTCAACATACAAATACGCACACATCACTGCTATAATGCTGGTCGTCCATTGAGTTTATCGTGGATGAGTGCAATAGCGCCCCCTGTGAAGTCTCTGAGCACCTGCACGGTCTCCCTCTGCAGCTGTAAGGACTCCCGCACAAACTCCTGTTGCGTCTCTGCTAGCTGTTGGACCGATTCAGCTAACAGCTCAAGTGACCGAGATACAGTTTCTAACAATGTGTTGGTGGCATGCTGCTCACGGAGGCTCTGTGAGACACTGTCCATTAGGATGGAAGTCTTAGCGGCGGGATTTGCCATCGGGAGGGTTCCAGCAGTGGAAGTTGAGGGCTCAGGTTTTGCTGGACTGGGTTTCGGGATGCCATTGTTTTCATGGTGATCTTGGGGCGGTCTGGGACGATGGCTGGGGATTGGAGATTCTTCCTTTTGCTCATCTTCTGATTCAGCAAACGGTGCTTCTGTGTCTGGATTTAAAAAAAAGTCAGCTGTGGTTACTGCCCTCATTATTTTATAAACATATTCTGCTTCTTCAGGAATTTAGCATTGAAATATAAAACATACATAGATCAGTATTGTACATTTTGTTCACTGTCAAGTGCAGTATTGATGTAAAAAAGTAATTATTAGAATATAATTAAAAATTACAATAATAACTGATAGTGGCATTCCATTGTAGCAAGCAGTAGATTTTCATGTACATTTTTATTCTTAAAAAAAGCTACAAGACATTCTACAAGTATGAGTCTGTATTAACTTACAATTATTCAAAAAAATAAGGAAATGTTTAGAATGAAAGACAATACCAAATGCATGCATGAGCCCATGAGCTCACAATACACCTCAGAGTATACTAATGAATGATAAGGGAACCATTAAAAACTCTTTAAAAATCTCTCAAAAAAAAATAAAACGAGAGACAAACTAAAACCAAGTCTGTAAACCTTACCTTCTGGAAGCTCAAATTGCAGATCAACTTGGAAAAGAAAGGAATTATCAGTGTACAGTTGTATTATTAATACAACTATATAATAATAGCATTGTATTGAGGAATATCCTGACTACCTGGTTGTCCACTGCCACTGGAGAGGTAGGATGAAGGTGGGGGCATAGCTGTTTCTAGTCCTCCATTTGGTGAACTCTGAAATCCCATCATGTCCTCCTCTTCCATCTCCTCTTCATCGACCCCCTCATCATCATCACCCAGGGGACTAAAATCGTATGTACCATCATCTTCATCTGACATCTCCAGAATCTGAGCCACGATCTTCTCTGTGGGATTGAGGTCCTTGGACATGCGTGAGTTCAGTCCTCTGCTTGGCACGGCTCCTGTTTGCATAGCAGCAATTTTTCGCTTAGTGTCACACTTTAGATCGGACCATTTCTTTATGACCTCGATGATTTCACGTTGACACTCTCCGATCTCATTCACGCGAGCTGTGATTTCTGCCCATGTGCGTTTTTTAGCATCTGTTGGCACGCCACGATTGAATTTACCTAAACATAAAAAGGCGTTTAGATTAGTACATGCAATTGTTGTATTAGCATTGTCTAAAGTATCAAAATATCAGTAGTCATTATTAGTATCAGAAACAATAGTAAAACTAGAATCGAAAATATGTACTTATTTGAGCAGATATCAATACTAAAAAAGTCACACTCACAGGACAGATATCTTTCCTGAATAGCGTTGAATGGTTGAGCTGTATCAGAACAAGTATACGAGCAAATAGACTAGTATACGCTCATAGACCACTATGGAACATACATGGGCAACTGAGGGATTACACAGGTATAAGGGCACGTGATAATATAAAAGAAAGTACCATGATTTAAAGTTGAAAGCCATCCACATTCTATTGTCTAGAGAAAAGGTGTTTTTTAAAATTATCACTATTGTATCAGAATCAGTATTGAGTATCGAGTCTTCCTTAGTATCAAAATCGAGTTTGATATTCTAGTATCATTACAACATGATGGCATATTAACCCTTATTTTAAAGGACTTATGAAGTGTTGAAAATGTACATACCCACAACTATTTTGCGGTGTTTTCGTACTTCATCTAACAATATGTGAACCTCGCTGAAAGTGAAGCGAGCCTTTCTCTTTTTGAATCGGTCACGGTTGTTGTTGTTGTTGTAGTACAGTGGAGAGGAAGACATCCTTTAGTCCTACTCAGCAATTCTCCGTATTTAGCCGTTTCAGATGTAGGAATTCTGTATTGGAAAAAGAAAACACAAAAGAAAAGAATACAGGGTCAGAACGTTCACACACTGACATTGCCGAAATGTTACAGACCTAAAATCTTACTGAAATTTAGAAGAGCTATGGGCAGGTGATGTTTAATTTAGAGTTAATACTATCTGCTTTTTGTGATTATAATAAACATGCTACTGTGTCCAAATAATTCCCATTGTGGATCAATAAAGTCTAAGTAATAATTGTGATCCTCCTTTGGGTTAATTCTTGATTTACCAGATTATGCAAATTATGGCCTCAGTATTTTAGACCTGGTTCATAGCTAGTTTGGGGCTGGCATAGTAACCTGTGAACCTGTGAACCTTTATTTGTTCCACAATGGGAAAATTACAGCAGGATTATAGAAATATGCAATCAAAAAGCTACTGAAATATAGGCTTAAATCTAACCAATTTAACCATAATATTAGAAATATTTCGAGTCTAGTTAAGATACAAAAGTGCTTAAAGTTAAAACAATACAACAATTCAAAAGTATGTACAGTACGTGGCTGTGTTTATACAATGCACCACATGGGCAGAATAAGTATCAGATAGTCCTGTTATAGACCTAGGGAATATCATTTTCTTCGGTCGTAGTGGGTGCAAAGAGTTTGATGCCCACAACACTAAAAACACTTTGACATTTAACATTCATAAACATAGTAAAATTCAGGGTGGAGTGGACAATAGATGCTAGGCACAGCTTATAGCTCGTAGCGGCACTAACATCTTCTTATACAAGCTCTGAGAAGATGTACGTCCAGTTTTCAGTGTGTTACAGAAAAGGCAGCCAATGCAAGGTGCTTCTGCTGGAGTAAAAAAGCCACGATGTTGAAGTATTACACAGATACTGGCATAATTTGGTAACATGCATAACAGCTAACATGCTAAGCTAACACGGAGCGGTGCATGCAAACCCCCACTGAGAGATTGGATTTTGGTCTAATATGTCCAAACCAAAAGATATTAATAAAACGGATGGTGGTGGGTTGAACGTACCTGCAAAGACGAATAAAGCAACAATTATCCAGAGTGAATTATTTTCTGAAAATGTTCTGCATGAATAACGCCATCAAGCTAAAAAAAAAACCCGCTACACGCTATCATTTCCGGGGTAACTTCAGCGATTTTACTTTATATAAACAACTATGTCAACATTTTAAAAGACACAAATTTTGTACTAACCATACATAAAAATGCATTTTTAGTTTAATGTGTTAGCCTTGATTATATGTTTAGCAAGATATAAGTGACAGATGCAATTTGGGTGCTAAATTTACGGTTTTATTTTGAAAGGATGACTCTTTTTGAACAGGAAGTAAATAACTTTCCATAATGTTTTTCCTTTTCCAGATTCCCCGGGGCCCTTTTGCAAGTGTAGTTTTGGATAATAGACGATTTTGTTCCAATTCGTAAACTATTGTGATTAAATTCAGATCAATTGACTCTCGAGTTGAAAAAGAAATCACTTTAGTAGCGTCTTACTTAAAGCTGTATCATGTAACTTTTCTGGTGGAAGGTCCGTCACCTGGTATTCTTCTTTACCTGTTACATTCCACAGTATGGCATTAAACTATCAATCTCCATAGGAACAAGCAGATAACACAGCCAGTCCAAGTCACAGGTCAGATCTGTGGAGGGGTGACCTTGCTTGCAGTAAGAATGTATATTTTTCAAGGTACTTTTTAGAATTAAATATCTGTAACTGAATAAATACATGTATACAAGTTTATACATTGTACCTTCCAGGCTAAACAATAACATCCACATGGAGACAAGCAGGTATCAAACCCTCCTCCAGAAAGATTACATAGTACAGCTTTAATGTCATTTAAAGGTGCATTGTGGATAGTTTGACCAGACGTCCCTATTTACCCGGGACAGTCCCAGTTTGGAGCCTTGTGTCCCCTTTCACAGCAGATTTATACAAAACCAGTGATTTGTCCCAGTAATATACAAGCATCGTCCCAGGTGTCCCTATTTTTGCCCAATTTGATCTAAACCAGGACTACATCAGGCCTAAACCAGGGCTAAAACAGGACTATTAAAATTTTTGACTAATCTGATCCCTGCCAACAGTAAAGAGGAGCATAAATTGTCATTTGTTTAGCCAAAATATAGAAAACTGTATGCGTATGACGATAAAGAAAAAATAAAAAAAAAAATGCAGCGATAGAAGTCGAGAATGCACAATATTACGTGCTCTTTTCACAATTTTATTTCTACTAAGCATCCCAAAACGGGTGTGTCCGAGTTTTAAATTTTGAAAATCTGGTCAGCTTAATTGTGTAACTGTTCTGGTGGAGGATCTAATGCTTTTCTCCACAGAAATGTTATTACTTCGGAATGTTTCACAGAAACACAAAACAGTTACTTTAACACTTAAAGTTAATTTCCCCTTTTTGCAAAACTAAATGATGAACCGTTAAAACATGTGTTAACAAGATCATATAACAATAGCCAACATTTTTATCCACATGATAAATGACAAATTTCTTTTTGTCCAAATATGGCACCTTTATTCAGGCTATTTATTTATGAGGCTTATTAACAGGTTGACACTGCCTATAGACATTTTAAACATGCACAATTTTCTTTTTTATAGTGGGTATACGCATAGACTTCTTTATAGAATCTATGGTATCGGTCTAGCAAACATGAGATAGCTTTTAACAAACAAATTGGACCTGAATATTTGTAATGCACATTTTAAACTACAGGGGGTCTGCTGAGTTTTCCTGGAGTGGAAAGGCACATTAAAACATGATTCTGGTTAAACATAACACACCACATTTTAGGCTCAATAGTGGTTAAAATAATTATTATCTATAGCTCTAAAAATACCATCTTTCCTTTTATGTGTTTAAACTTTGCCTTAATATTGTGATACCTGATTGTGCATGAAGCAAAACCAGTACTACCCACAAACTGGTTCCACAACATGAGTCCAGAGTTTACAATTAAGACAGACAGTTGAATGGCTTTACATTTTACAAATATAACTTTGAATGCATATTCTTATCTTCTTACTGGGGTCAAATCTCTCGATCCTGACAGCAAGACTAGCAGCACTTCTCACCAACATTATTTTCTCTAGATTGTCTAATAAACTCAATATTTAACCTTAAAGATGCACTGTGAAACTTTTTTGTGGAAGAAGGTGTTCCATCAGCTTGCCTCCATGGAGATGTTGTTGCTTTGTCTGGAATGTCCCGGTATGGCATTAAACGTATACATCTTGCATTTACACAACAACATGTTTTTGTTTTTTCTGACTTACAACTTGCATTCGTACTGTGAGTGTGCTTGCCTCTCCAGAGATCTGACATCTAACTTGGCCCTATAGCGTCACTTGCTGTCTCTAGAGGAATAAATAAGTTTAATGCCATACTGAGGAACATTCCAGGCCACATCTCCATGGAGAGAAACTGGTGACGGACCCTCGACCAGACAGGTTTCACAGTGCACCTTTAATGGAGTTTGGCTTCTTTTGTTTTGCACCTACCAAGACAAAAAGGGAAGAAATAAACATAATTTAGTACATATGATATTGGCTCAACTGCAACAAGACTTGGAGTGGAAAATAGTCAAAAAAGCAGCTACAGAACAGCCATGGGTTTTTTTCTAGTGTAATTTCCAATGCATTGTACTTTTATTATAAGATAAATCAAATTGGATTCATGCATATCTCATGACTTGCTCAATACAACCCAAATGTAAACACTGTGCTGAAAATAACATGGTAATAAAATGGGGAAGCCAAATTTAGTTTTTGTGCATTTGTACTAGAGCAGGGATAACAAACTCAGTAACATTTGCTTTAATTTATATTCACCTATATACTTATTATTATGTGATTGTAGAATCAGTTCAAATGTTTTTAATAAAAAGATATTGTATAAGCTGAAGTGCACAAAACATAGAGTTAAAGGACGAACACATTTCAAACTGCAAAAATATATGGCCCTGCATGGAACACAAGTTTGAGTAAACGTGAAAATAACTCATGCTGAACCGTGTAGACAAAGTGGCACTGTGTAACAAACTGAAGAGGAAGCATCAGCTGCATTCAGGAGTACATGGTCAACTGGAGCCACTGCGAGTACAAAAACACAACATCAGTAAAAGAAATTGTCACTGGTCTATTTTCTATTTTTTAAGATTATAAATAAGCTACTTACCTCTTGTACATTCACTTTGATGGTTCCATTGTTATCTTTATCCAGAGTTTTGAAGGCACCTGATTTGACAGATTAGTTTAGTTTAGTTTCTAGACTTGTAGTTGACTAAAGAAATTATTGGTCAACTAAAGACATGTCTTGACTAAAATGAAGAAGTGGAGTTAAATCTAAAACAATATATTTCTAATCAATCTCTATCATCTGTCCATGAATCTGACCAGAAAACTACACTCACAAGACTACAACTGCACAGACGTTTATCCAAAATCAACTATTTATGCACAGTACAGTACTTGAAAAAAAAAAAAAACCTAGGGAAAAAATGCAGGTCATGATTCACTTCCAAATATTTCAAACTCACTACATACCTTCCAGTTGCTGCTGTTATCTCATATAAACCTTTAAATGTATCCTCATAAATCCTAAGTAAAATATGTAGCTGACTAATACACATTGGACCATCTGACTCAGTAACTAGGACTACACCCCAATCAGCTCATTCAGTTCAGTTCCGTACATTCATTTTGACAAACCAAATTTAATTCTGTTGGATTAATGTGACTTACGACACATCGCGTCCAGCCGCACAAGGCAGCCGATGTAATTGTCAAAATCCATGTTTCCGTTTTCATCACTGTATCGTCGTATTATCATATTAAACAGCTGCGGATCGAGAGGAAAGCCTGAAGAGAGGGAAGATATCATAAAAAATGCATAAGAGGGAACATAGGGGTTTACATTACATAATACTTGTGTTATTACATTGGTATGCATGTATCCATAGCCATTTGTAGAGTTTGCAGATTTTTGAATTTTTGAACCAGAAATACAAGAGACTATGGTCGCCCCACTTAGTCTATAATTGCCCCTCATAAATATCTAAAATACCCTAGAACATTGGCATAAAAACTAGACTCAGACAGAAATAATCAAAAATCATTTTAAGATTAAATGCAGGCAATAAGTGACATTCATACATACATTCATCACAAACTGAATGAGATTAAATTATTTTTAAATTATAATATGAGCTACCATTGTCTTAATCTATTTCTAGACAGATACACAACGCTGAGACTGGCACGGTGCATGACTACTGTGCTGGCGGTTAAACACTGTAGACTATTGCTCAACACCATTTCCACATTTTCCCAGTACTTAAAGCACTATAATTACAATAACATTTCTAAGTACTGAAATCACTATAATTACTAAACAATATAACTCATAGTGAAGCTGATTCAAGGTTAAACATCTATGGAGAGGCAACCCCACTCAGTCATAATGCCTGTTTTTCTAGGCATTTACAAGCTATAAAAATAACAACATTCCAGGCGGAGCAATGGTATATCCATAGAAAACCCTGGCCAAGCCCCTTGTGCTGTTGTGTTGTATTCAGACTCCACCATTTTGCAGTCACAGCACAATGAGGTATCAGCATGCGCTCAGACTTAAAAATATCGCCAACAAATATCCATTCGATAAGTCAATATAATCAATGAACCGAACAGAGAGTTTTTGTGTAAATTGGGTAACCCTTATCTGTTTAGTCCAGTTATCCAAATTTTCTAACTGTGTCATTGTCAGGATACAAAACTGTCTCACCTGAATCGCTCACACCTTGTTAATTATTAATACAAAACTCACACAACAGGTACATTCAGTTTTAAATCTAAGTATTTAATCTCACCAGCTGCAGTGAATGCTCCAGGCAGTTCGTCCGCACTAATAAGCCCAGAGCCATCTCTGTCAAAGGACTTGTACACTGCCTAAACAAGAAAAGCAAGTATTAAAAAAAATGTACGAGTGACAATAGCATTTTTAAGTGGGTCAGAAACCTAGAAAGCAAACATTACAACAACATTACAACCTGAAATTCCTTTGGAGATCCTAGAAAGGGTTTAGTTTTCTTTTGCTTACCTGCCATTTTTTTATATTGTTCCAAATGTGTTTAAATTCATGAAACCCGAGCTTCCCAGTGCTGTCACTCTAATGTGGGGGTTAAGAAAAGTAACTATGGCCACTCCATCTTAAACAAACAATGCTACAGCCTCAGTATTTGTCAAGGGACGATTTAATGCATGGTGTGTAACCGTCACTACTCTCTATGCTCTCATACACATCTATTATTCTATACTGTACATCAAATGGAGCAGCATCCTAAATTATATTACAAACTTAAAACAAGGAAATGCGAAAGATCTAACGAAAAATAATAACGCAATAATATGGGACTTAAAATAAGTTTAAAATATGAGGCATATATGCAAAAGCAAATTATAAGAGAAACTATATGTTTCGAATATGAATATATGAATACTCTGCTAAACTTGTAAAACAATAAGGATTAATGAAAAAAAAAAAAAAGAATTAATAAAAAACAATATTAAATAACAAAATAACTAGCATCTGAAAGCAGTCAGTTGTTTTTTTGAATATATATATTTTTGATGTCTTTTTATGTACATATTTACATGTTTTTATTAGTTTATATTTGTTGAATTATATTTGTGAATGGTGTGATATTTATTTGTTTGATATTTATTTGATAATAAAGACACTAAACTATCTCCATACTAAACCTGAACTTTATCAGACCTAAATTAGAGCTAAACATGATATAAAATGAAACTAGGGGTGTCAAGATTATTTGGTTAATGAATAACCGTGATTATTCAGGTCACAAAACAAAATTAAATAATTTCCATTCAGTCTATATGGCTAAAAAGTCAAATTAATGTAAAGCGCTAATCTATGAAACACTGCTTTTTCATTCACAAAGTTTGATTTCATAAACCATTGATCATATACTGCAGCATGTTAGATAATGAAAGTGAAACAAAATGAAAATGGCTTTCACTGTTTGGGCATGGTGTCAATGACTGTGGTTAAATCTTAGCTTTTTTTTTTTCCCTCACAATAATAACAACATTAAAGTTTGATACTGTGGCATCCTTAAATGAGACTAAACCAAAATAACGATGACAATGAATGAAAAACATTTATAGATTAGTCTCTAAATAAAACAAATACTTAAAACTACACTAAACTCAACAAACCACCAGTAATACACATACCACAGTTTGAGAAACACACTAAAAGAGCGCCTAAAGGAAGAGACTCCTTCTTGTCTTCTCTTGTGTCAGTCATTTGTAGATTTGGTGGGGCAGCTGTCTGTATTAACCCCCTGAATGCCAAGCTTAGTTCCTGATCCTAACTGTCACCTTGTCTCCACAACATACACGCCCATTAAGTGATAGAAAGGATACATCCATGACGGCCACCATGCTCCGGCAGTTTTCAATGCTAAAGCCATCTGTCTTCAAGTCGCCATCTAAACAGAAAAACACAGGAATAATAAATCAATATCAGTCAATAATCCATACTGATCCAACTTGCTTGTGTAATAAATTACACTTACGCTTGGAGATAATTCTGTTGAGGATGTTCATCAGCTCAGTGGGGCTCACTTCCATATCCTATGAAACAACAGGCTGCATCTTTATTACAATCCTTTAGTGTTGTCATTAAACTAAAATGTTAAAGTTGATTTGATACAAAGGAATAGGTTTGATAGTTATAAGTTTTGAAACCACGATAATGGAGTGTATTTTTTAAACACAGAATAATAGTACTATCTTTATGTTACCATGGGGTCTTATACTAGTTTAAAGACAGCTTAAAATCTTTCTAAAACAGCTCAAGAATTTTATCCTGCTAATATTATTTTTATGACTAATTTTCTTATCCATATGTATCTAATTGTTGATATTTTGGACAAGCCTAAAATCCATCTTAATAAACAAACTAGTTGGACATGACTCACTCATCCACTAAAGAATAATATGACTTTTTTATGTTACCATGAGGTCTTATACAAGTTCAAAGAAAGCTTAAAATCATTCTAAAACAGTTCAAGAATGGTCAAATGATTTTGTCTTTTTAATGTGATTTTTATAACTAGTTTTTGCAATTGTTGATACTTTAGAAAAAACTAAAATCCATCACAATAAACAAACCAGGAGGACATGACACTTACTTCTCCAGCCAGCTGTTGGAACACCTTACGAAACTGCCTCTCTTCATCACTTTCATGTTGCTCTGCATAAGCCACGGGTCTGCGTGGAGGAGGCTATGAGGACACACACACACAAACATACACATGTAAGAATGAGACTGCTTCTAAAATTAGACATATATACAGACAAATGCTGTCGTTCAGTCACTCACTGGTTGAGAGGGCACAAACTGTGCTGGGTCAATGTTGCTAAAAACAAAACAAAGAGATAGGAATTTAGACATTTATTAATTTTGTTATCTTTAATAAAAATAGCTCACATTGAGAAACTCACCTGACAACATTTATAAGGCCTCCAATGACTTGTTTAGCCAAAAACATCTTGAATTTACTGTGAACAAAAACAAAACAAAAAGAAGTGAGGACCATACTGCCATCAGCAGTGTTACAACAATACATGATTACAGTTTTGACATTTTAAACTACAGTACATTTGAAAGTGCAAATGCAAAACAAAGAATGCAACACAAATGTCAAGTCACTAGAGACCAGCAATTTAAGTTCATATTAACATTTACAAGACTACTCAATATGACTACTGGGCTAATTTAATCTGTTATTGGCCACTTATTTATCCAGTCCTGGCATGTCTTTTTACACATAAATGGCACGCCCTCTTTATCCGACCAACACTTCCCGTGTCGCCCAGACCTGAACCAAACCACACCCAAATGCAAATAATTACTAATATTCTTAATCAATTAATATAAAGTTTTCTTCGCGTATATTACTGCGTTATAACTATAGGTTGTGAGGTTAAAAGCATAAATATATTGCAATGTTTCGTTGTCACCACAAACTTGCCATCCACCAACACCGGAGTTATTTCATTAGACAGACAAACTCTGCAGATTATATAAAGAACTAAACATTCATCGACATTAAAAGTAAGCCATACTGTGTTTTTTGTTTGCAATTAAATTGTTCATCTGTGATCGTATCAACAAGAACACAGAGCTAGCTTGAGGCTACCAACAGATCCATGGAGGTACCTAGATAGCACATCGAAAACGAGCGAGTGTAATTTTTTTTAGCTTTTCTCGAGAATTGCGCAAGAATAAACACTAAACAATACAAAACCACGATTACTTCAGATGTTTAGGTCGTATACTTACCACTAGATCGTCGTCGCGGATTAAAAGTGAATCGTTGGAGCGTGAAAACACCACTTTTGCGCAGAAAGGAATGCGAGTCCGTGAACACGCCCCACGCACGGCCCCAGATGACGCACAAAGAGCAACAGCGCCACGAGAGAATTACACACAAATATTTGCAAAAGAGGTTTGAAATAAATTTTAAGATTTTTTTTTAAACAGTCAGCTCTAATTTTGCCTGGACAAATCCAGCCTGATCTATATAATAAATACATAGACATATCCTTCTGGATTTCCAGGCAAGCTCTAATTGTCTCCCAATACAAAATAAGAACAATAAAGGTATTGGGAGCAGTAGTGGCTTGTCTATAAAAGACGCAAGTGCGCCGCACTCCTTAACTTGACGTAGATTAAAAAAAATAAATTAAACACAATTCTAAAGTCGTTATTTGTATTTGTATGTTTAATATTTTGTTTAAAATTGAACGTGTATGTGTAGGTCTATGGGAGAGCCTGAAGTTTGCAGAAACTTTTACGTCATTACGTTGCTTCTGCCCATTACTTTACATTACAGCCATAAAATACGTCTTGGGGGCGTAGGGTGAGGGCGACCTGAAATCAAGTGATTGATCGTTATAAAAATGATCACACACTTCTGGCCTATTGTGATGCGTGGGTTTCACATTACATACAGTTTGTTCTATATATTGTTCTATATGAGAGTCAAACTCTTATGTGCAGATATTAGGCTGACAAGCAGCATTTAAGAATTTTTTATGTGCATGATTTAAGAACTGCTGCAATAGCCTTAACAGGCAGCTTAAGTACTTTTCACTGGAAATGAAGGCGCTTCATCCAAACATGGGATCCTATGATCATAAAACAGTCTGTGTCCTAATAAAGGCTTAAAGCCTGAAGTGTTTCTGCTGTTCATAAACTGTATACGTAAATATTTTTCTTTTTGCTCTGTGTGAAGCACAGACTTTATTCTCATGTTTGTGAGAAGTTCACAGGGACAGAAACACTGACACTGTCAAGAAAATTAAACCCATGAAATTGATAAAGGTTTAACCTACTGAGCTGAGGCTTTCTAAATAAATAAATAAAATAAATACAATACATGTTTCTCAAACAAAATTATGAAATGTGGGGAAATCTGACGGCTGTGCTATACTTTTTCAATTTTTGACCAGACCAGACCTCTGGACTCAATATTCAAACACAGAACAAACAGAAATCCCTGGTTACAGAATAAAATACATTGCTTTTTTTTTCCGGAAAAAACCCGTAAACTAGGTGTCTTTTTTTGATGACTGTGACCAGATTTGTGATTTATTGAAATTTCAGATCACTTGAAATTGCCTTTGATTTTACTTTTGAGTCTCAGTCCCTTATTTTTAAATAAGTTGAAAACGACAGAATGAAGGTTTTCTTAACTAAGGCCGACTTGATTGTTTTATGGGATAGGCTATTTAACAGTTTAGTTTAGGTTTTTTTTTTTTTTTCTTTTCTTTCTAAAAAGTTATAAACCTGTCCTTCCCCAGTGAGCTGACCCAGACCCTGTTGCTATGGTAACCGGTAGCCTGTCTTGTTTTCAGGTCGTGTCATTTGTTAAACGTGTTGTGATATTCAGATAATAATATTTTTAGCTTTTTTCTTTGTATTGATTGCACTTACACAGGAAGCAAAAAAAAAACTTAGTACAAGTGTTATTTTAATAGATCCATGGTGTTTATGCAGTGCTTCGGGCATTAATAAGTAGGCAACAGCGCCACTTATTGGCATGGTGTAAGTATAACACGTATTATCAGTACAGCTCCTTTTTTTAAAAAAAAAAAAAAAAAAAAAAGCCCAATAAGTCCAATGTTTTTGTTATACCATCTCAAACTTTTTTTTTCTCAATAGCACCACAACAAAACATATTTGGAGCATTTCTAACATCATTCTCAATAAGAAAATGCATAATGTACATAAACATTTAACATAAACCATGTATGTTTTAACCATTTCAACATAGGTATTTTAGAGTACTGGCATACAATGAACTCAATCAATATTCCTCTATTAGTCTCTTAGGTTTCATAATGTTTCTGTGTGGTCTTTCTTGTACTGCTGTTTTTGGTGTCACAAAATATCAAGAGAAGTATGCACAATGCCACTGGCAGTACTTGTTGTGGAACTGACTTTTTGACTAGTGGTTGTTAGCGGTCCATCTTTGTTGTTCTTGAGCTCCAAAAAGTTGTGTTTGGTACTTTGAGTAAGTGACGACGATTCCTTCTCAGGGTGCTGCCGTACTCAGTGAGGACTTCATAGGACCTCGGAGTTGTATCTTTGATGACCTTAGCAATAGGTCCCCATTTACCATCACATCTGACGCGTACTATGTCCTCCTGTGCAATTACACTTAATTGTTTTGCTGTTTTGTTGTATCTTTGACTTTGTTTGTTGTATTTCAGAATGATTATGTTCTTTCTCTTTCACCAGCACATGTGACGCTGAAGGTAAATGTGTTCTCAGTTCTCTCTTCATCAGAAGTTCTGCTGGAGATTTTCCACACTCCACTAGTGAAGTTCTATAGTTGAGCAGGGTGAAGTATGGGTCACTGCATGTTTCTGTAGCTTTTTTTAAAAAAAAAAAAGTCTTTTTACAATCTGCACTGCTTTGTCAGCCAAACCATTTGATTGTGGGTACAGTGGGCTAGATGTTGTATGTTCAAACCCATTGTTATGTCCCCTATGTCCAACAAGGGACACAACGTGTATAAAACAACCCTTGAGGCAAAGTCAGTTTGGCAAATGTTTTATTTGACAGCCAAACCTTCATTAAAGTGCACAAAAAAATTAACAAACGGTTGGTGGGAGGAGGCGTGGGCCAGTTGTGCCAAATCAACAAACAAAAAGGTATACCAAAACAGGCCCTAACTGAAAACTAGGCTACAAAAAGGAAAGAAATCAAAAGCCTAGCCTACCTGGTCTAAAAAAGAGAATTTGGAAAACTCAAAACAACAAGGGTGGCAACAACTGATAACTAGTGTGTCTAACAACAAAAATCTACGTGATGAAATGTACAGGGATCCCCAAACTTACCTAACCAGTCCTCCCACCAAACAAACCTGGGCTAGCAGCCATATACACAGAGGGAGAGAGAGAGAGAGAAAGAGGCAGCACACAGCTCCTTTTAAATGGCCCTCTCCACTCTGATTGGCAGCCAGCTGGCCAATCAGCTCCAGTTCCGGTCACACCCACAGCACCTGAACACACAGGGCAGAGGAGAGAGCAGTACAAAAACAAAACAAATGCCTGCATGTAACACCCATCATTTTCAGCAAAATCCTTGAAATCTTGGCTGCTGATCTGCAGGCCGTTATCATTCACCACTGTTACTGGGATTCCGTGTCTTGCAAAAATGGCTTTGCAGTGCTTGATGACATGCTTTGCTGGTGTGTCAGTCAGGAAAGCAATTTCTGGATAATTTGAAAAATAATCCATGATGACAAGGTAGTCTTTTCCTGTCAAGTGAAACAAGTTTACCCTGACCTTTCTCCATGGCTTGTTTGGTCTGTGATGTGCGAGGAGTGGCTCTTTTTGTTGTTGGTATCAGTGTTGTCGATATGTCTCACTGCGCTTTATGTAGTTTTCTATGTGTTTGTTCATGTGTGGCCAGTACAGTAAAGCTCTTGCATGTCTCTTGCACTTATTTGCACTGTGTGAGTTGCAGCATTTGTGAGGGCATTTCTGCAGGCACAACAATCTGGTTCCCTTTGAGTAGTACTCCTTGTACCATGGACAGTTCCTCTTTGAAGTTTTGATATGGGTGGATCAGCTTTTTCTCACGTAGTTGATGGATCTGGGTGATCAGTAGCATCTGTAATTGTTTCCATTTACCTTGAGACACAGGCATGTACTTCTGCATTACATCCACATGCACTTGCACATCTTGTTCAGTGTTGCAGTGTTGTCGATTCTGTACAGTTTAGTGAAACTTGGTTGAGTGCATCTGCCACGATGAGGTGTTTACCTGGTGTGAACTCAAATGTTAAACAGTACTTTTGCAGGCGAAGAAGCAGGCATTGGATGCGAGGCAGTGCCTCTCCAAGAGGTTCGGTGGAGATTGCGATCAGTGGTTTATGATCAGTCTCGAGCACCACTTCTCTGCCATAGATGTATTCATGAAACCTTTCACATCCAAACACTGACCCTAGTGTTTCTTTTTCTATCTGTGCATAGTTTCTCTCAGCTACAGTCATTGTGAGATACGTACATAACTGGAAACCATGTCTCCTCATGTAGCTGAAGCAACACTGCTCCTAAACCGTTCTTAGAAGCATCTGTGGAGACTTTTGTTGAGAGTGCAGGGTCATAGAATTTCAACACTGGCTCTCCTACTAGTCTGCTCTTTAACATCTCCCACTCCGTGTTGTGCTCATGGTTCCAGTGCCATTCTGTGCTATTTTCCAGCAGACTGCGCAGTGCTTTTCTGTTTGCAGACAGATTTGGAATGAAATGGCCTATATAGTTTACTAAGCCAAGTGCTCTTTGTAAGTCTGTTTTGTTTTCTGGTATGGGCGTGTGTGTTATTGCTCTTACTTTTTCAGGCTCTGGCTGTATCCCTGCTGCAGAGAGCTTGTCTCTTAGGAAAGTAATCTCACTCACCCCAAACTTACATTTTTGTCAGTTCAGTTTCAGCCCTGACTGCTTGGCTTTTAACACCACTTTAGCCAACCGCTCATCATGTTCTGCTTGTGTGGCTCCCCATATGACCTCATCATCAAGGAATACTCTGACTCCTTCCATTCCATCAAACATCTGCTGTACAGTCCTGTGAAACACTTCAGGTGCTGAAGCAGTCCCTAAAGGCATGCACAGGAAACAGTGTTTCCCAAAAGATGTGTAGAATCTACACAGTTTTGTGCTTTCCTCATCCAGTTTGATTTAGTAGAAGCTTGATGAAGCATCCAGTTTGGAAAAGAAGCATGCCCCAGCCATTGCACTTAAGTCACTTTTTGTGGGCAACTTTAAGTGTTCTCTTTTAATCCACTTGTTCAGATCTCTTGGATCTATGCACAATCTCAGATTTCCGTTTTTCTTTCCTACAGTCACAAGAGAATTCACCCAGTCTGTTGGTCCCTCAGTT